CGAAGGTGTGTGAGATTTTCGCCATTGACATTGATGCCCAATGCGGTCCAATCAAGTGTCGTGAAGACGTCCTCCAAAGCGTTTGAGAACAGTTTCGGAGAGACAACATCTCACAGTCTGACGCCTCTGTGCAACTGAATGGGTCTTGTCTTGTTGCTTTGTACTTAGACGGACATCGTGGCCTTGCTGTACAGATTTCTCAACACCTCTACGTACCGTCAATCGACTTGGCATAGCTGCAAGGATTCCAGAACAGCCCAGGTTTCGATGGGGTCGAAGGCTTTCTCGTAGTGCGCAAATGCTAGACACTGTCGCTAATTATACTCTTCAGACTTCTGTATAATCTGCCGAACAGTGTGTATGTGGTGCACGGTGCTATAGCCTTTTCGAAACCCTGCCTGTTCTGGTGGCTGGAAAGCGTCAAATCTTCCGGCGAGACGATTTGTGAAGACTCTCGAAAACAGCTTATAGACGTGGCTCGGGAGCGCGATAGGTCTGCAGTACTTTCATACCCAAGTCCGGGTCCACCAGCAACGCCCGTGAAGGCGTATCACTGGTGGATGGCTTGGTCCGAACGCCCGCAGTAAACTGGTCATGCCGTCGAGCCCGTAGTCTCCCCGGAAAACCCTATCTCTCGGGTCAGTAGATAGGGACTCACTATTAGGGACAGACTAAAGAGGAATGTTAATTAATTAAACATAAAAAAGTGTAACTCCCATGACTGACTTGACATTGGCAAAATTCTTCAAGAGAAGCCAGATACTTAAAAATAGAATAGTAATAATTCAAGCTTAGAATCGGAATTTGATTCTGCGTGAAATAATAATATGTAGTAAAGTAATCCAAAGTAATATTATATTAAACGCGAAAGTAACTTTGTCTGTTACGTTTTCGCGCCCAAACCCCTGAACCATATTTGATGAATTTTAGTATAGAGATAGGTGGGACCTATGAGAAGACACATTACAAGTTTGTTTCTTTTCATTTACCATTACCTATTATCCAGCAACATGTATTAATAGGTATCATAAATGATATCTCAATAGGTATTTTACTACTTTAACTTTATAGTAATTGGCCAGGTAAGTATTACTTCTACATAACCTAATCACATACTTAACTAAATTCTAATTACACAGCCCGGCCGTGGGCAAAGGTAGCCTAAATAATAAGTATTGACAAAAATGTTCTTTACATCTGCTATCATTGGTTGCTATGTTACGTACGTTAGTAATAACGATTTGTTATTAAACATTCTATGTTGAATTTTGCTAGAGTATAGTTATTGGGCGAATAATCAAGTATATAACTAGAAATAGAGACGAAATGTTATTTAATTTGCTTGAAAACTATTCTGCTAAATCATTACGGTGACAACTGCGCTCCGATTGGCCAGCCCGAATTTGAAACAATTGGCGGGTGTCGACAATTATTTCAGTTCAAATCGACCAGTTTAACTTGAGCTTTGCCATAATGGACGAAACTTAAAAATTACACATTTAATCACTGATGAAACGTAATTCCGTTTGTTTTGTAATGTTTGCTGTTTTTCCCATACCACCGAATGGAACCGCCCCCCATAATTAGAGATATTATCTTTATTACAATAAATACAGAATATTTTTTGGAATATACGGAGACCTACGGTCAGATGTTGGCGCTGTACTATTTCAGCTTTCTAATTTGTGATTTCAGTGCAAACGAGAGTTGATATTTTAAAGTGATATAAGGCCCATTTGCTTGATGCGTTGCCAGGGATGGATGATCCTTATTTCGTCTCTATTTCTGGTTATATACTCGATGGCGAATAATAACTTAGTAACAGACCAATGCAATCTAGGGCATTTTCCAAAACGCCCAGTCTCGAGTATTATTGTACGTACGAATAGGTACGTATGTATAGAACATTCAATTGACCTATACAAAACTGGTACTGGTAAGATACAAATATGTTTCCCTTATTAATTAGCAATGTTTATGTGTACACATCCCTGCGTACATGTGGTTTGATTTCTACAGTAAACTTCAAGATTTGTTGTAAATATCAATTCCACAAAGTGATAGTTATGCTAATCCCTTTGATGAAAGTAGTTATCGTGAATTACACAATGAATATTAACAGAAAACACAATTGAACTATAAAAAAAAATTACCGAGTTAGTTCTGTAATGGCAGTTGTATAAATAGAATCATAATATTATTTAAAGCGCACAGTGTAAAAATTATAATTTGACATATAGAGTTCTTAGGTTTTCGCGATTGTTATACAGAAAATGAAAGTATTTTTCCGGATTTAAATCCACCTCAGTCAACCGTGACCATAGGACCTGTAAAGGGCCCGAAACGTTGGTTTGTTTGAAAAAACAAATATACGCGACTTAAATCCGGAAAAACAATTTCATTTCGTATTGAGAAACAGAATTTGAAAAAAATACAGTACAGAGTACTAAAAAACCGACCTAAAAAGTCATTCATCCCCTAGTTTGCCACCCTTACAGGTGGAATATTTTCTTCAAATTTAAACGGGACTACTTCTGAGGTATCCTCTTTCCAACAAAAAAAGAATCATCTAAATCGGTTCACGATTTCCGCAGTCATCGCGTAAAATACATAAAAAAAACAGTCGAATTGAGAACCTTCGCCTTTTTTTGACGTCGGTTAAAAATTTAAAATTATAAGATTAATTTGAATATATATTTTTTTTAATTTATAAAGACCTTAAACACAGCTCAAGTCATTCTGAGTAATTTTAAAGGTGGTTGAAATAACTGCGTAACAATTATACAAAAAGTGTTAGATAGTAAAACGAAACCTTTTATTTTTGGTAAATTTATTTTAAAAAGTTGTTTATGATGTCAGTAATAGTATAGGCCTATAGTCCTAATACTATAGTCCTGCAAGCTGTTTAATACTTTACAAATAACCCTGTCCGTATACGAGATTTTTTTAAGTATTATTTTGATATGTACCCTATTTATGAATAACAAATATTTTTTTGTGGGTTGATTTTATATATATATAAAATATATATATATGTATATATGTGTATATATATATAATTTATATTGATATTCACATTTCATTTTGGCTTAAGTAACGTTCAAAAGAAAAACCGCTTATTTTCGACTCGGGCGGTGTTATCTGCTAAGCGACGACGTGGAAGCATGGAAGCTTTAAGTTGACAAATGGGGAGACCCAGATTTTGCAGAATTTACTTTATAATTTCTTGCTTAGATTTAGGCAAAGTTCGTTTAATAAATCTCAGGGTCGTATTCCAAAACTCTACTCAATGCTCAAGTCAGGACTTGAGCAGACTTGAGTATGATTTAAAGCACTGGAAATACGACTCTAATGGCAAGGACCTGAGTATGATTTTCAGAGCTCGCTGCAATACTCAAGTCCTGACTTGAGTATGACTTGAACATTGAGTAGAGTTCTAGAATACGACTCTCAGTCTAAGAAGGAAAGGAGGAGTTATTTCTTGAACGGGGAGTATGACTATTCTATCGCCTTGTCTTAGGTGGATTGGGACAAAACATATAGCGTTTGTTTTTTAACCGATTTAAAAAAAAGAGTTGGTTCTAAATTCGACTGTGTTTGTTTGTGTGTAATAGTAAAGTTTAAGTGTAATGTTTTTTTTATATGTATGTTTCGCGATAAATGTATGTGAACCGATTTTGATGATTCTTTGTTGGGAAGAGGGTACCTCAGATGTGTGCCAATTAAATTTGATGAAAGTATTCAGTAAGTAATTTGATGAAGTGGCTTAAATACTAGGTAGGGGATGAATGACTTTTGAGGTCGGTTTTTTAGTATTCTGTACTGAGATTATTTAAAATTTAGTTAACTGCTGGTCACACAATTTGTTGGTATGATATTTTTTATGGAAAAAAAAAGGCAAACAAAATGGTCCTAAAAAAAAATCGTTTATTATTATTTTTTTAAATAAGTTCAACAAAAATATTAAAGCCCGCTATACGCAGGGCAGTTTGTTGGAAAGTAATTACCGCGTAAAATTACGGAAATGTCTTTAATATAATTATATTACAAAATAAAATCTTTTCACTTTTTACAATGTGCGCTATAAGTTACTCTATGTAGCACCTTATTATAATAAGACATCCGTTATATCCGACTTGACCTTTGTCACACTTAGCATCTTCCAATTAATTAATAAATAATCTATAAGATCTAAGAAACTAAGAAAGTTTTTATGTTGAACGTAATATTGGACATTTTTGATATAGACGAAAATGTTGTAAATATCGTCATGGTATAGTCATTTATTTTGGTACTTAACTAAATGTAAACAATCTTGAGATGTCTATTTAATGAAATTATACAATTATAAAATTATTTCTACTTACCTTCAAATACAAATAATTAGCTTCATATGAAATTGCATGCTTATTTTTATACCTATTAATTTGTAAACTATATGTTTCAATAAAAAGATGTATCAAGATTGTTTACATTAAGTACCTAAACAAATGGACTATAGAGGCGCGGTAAAAGGAAGTAGGATGTATTATTTATGAATTTATATAGGCTTAAAAGAGACAAGAGTATGTGGACATTCAAGTATGCTCTTAAAATTGGTCAATGGCGGCGAGTGGAAAAGTGACATACTTTTTAACAAAGTCGTCAATCAAATTTAACTCCGGATCAGTGAGAATATTGAACATACTGTTTAAAACTACACCTCGAATTCATTGGTTTGAAAGCATTTTACACGTATAGATAAAATTGACCTTTGCTTCTTTTTATAATGTCATAGACGATGTGATATTTCAACATCTCATATAACTATTTTTAAATGGGCACTATCGCCGCTATGGGTAAGGTAATTTTACATAAAAAATTATATGATTTGCCGAACGGGTATACCATGACTAATTTTCTCATATAACATGTAACTTCTTAAAATGCCAAGTGTCACAAGAGGTGTTAGTCATTAACCATTTTCCAACGATCATCTACCTCTGTATCTCTCTGGAAACGGGCCCGAGGTGTCCGAAGCCCGAAGCGATGCTGTTGATCTCCACTTGCTTCCAAGAACAGTACGGTGTGTGTTTGTCGCATTGGCTTTCCCCGTGCTGACACCGCGACTCGAGCATGATGTCCGAGCGCAGCATGCCCAATGATAGCGGCTGATTTCAACAAATCAACCACCTTGCTTACTGTCTAAATTCTAATTTACAATGAACCAGTAGGAGGGTCAAGACCGACAGAGTCCAAACATTTAATTGATATAAGGCAGTGTTTCAGTGTAGGTAGTTACTAAACATTCCAAGTCTACGGCCTTACTTCCGAACTCCGTTTGTTCCAGCTACTAGATCAAAGTAAATCAACCTTTATGTCGTTCGTGCGTGTCTTTTTCAAAATCGATTCGGATCTTAGAATGTGAATAGTATTGTGCCTGGCAAGTTAAAGAAAGCTCGCCATATAGGTTTTTAAATTTCATAGTTACTAAAGTATGTCTTTTTACGATTTTCCCCATACTCCAGAACGGTTAAATTGTTAGCGGAAGTCGTCAGATTTGAGGACAGACTTCTACAATACCATATTTTCGCCTCTTTGTGAAATATGTGAAATATAGGGAGAAAAATAAAAAATCATACGGAAATGAAAACATTTACAAAAACCAATATCTTCTACTGACGCTTATTATATTGGAGTTTATATGTCGACACACGACTGACGAAACTGGCAACACTATTAGTGAATCGCATGATTATAACAAATATGCAATTTGCAATTACACCGAAATATTACAATATTTGTTAAAGCAGATATCAAAATTATTTATACATAGTGTATGTTCCAAATATAAAAATGGCATTCATGCACAAATGTTCACCTTGTATATTATGTATTTATTGTCTCGCGTGATAAATAATTAATAAATAATATTTGTCGCCTATTTATATGTAACGATAATTTGGGTTGACAGATAGGAATCACCGTAACCACCGAAAGTTACAGTCGTGCGATAATTTATCATTCTCAGTGGTACCAATGGTCGGAACAGGGTGTTTCAAATGAGTAGATAAATGTCTACATATAGACACAAGGAGTGACATAGAGTGGTTAAAACCACCAAACATTAATTAATTACATTTTTCGAATTTCCGGATTTCCGGAAATAGTTTAATTATTTAATTTTATTTGGGAAACAAATAATTTACAATTTGTATACAAGATTGTAGTACAAAAACTTGTATCTTAAACCAGCAAAGTTTCCACTGCTAAATATAACTTAAAAAACTGCATCGTAGGATAAAACTATTTAACTAAAAAGTTTAAAGTAATTCTAGTGGGGCCATGTAAAAAAATGCAGTAGATAACTAACTTTTCACGTACTACATTTTTTGTATATGGCGCCATTAGAATTACTTTGAAATCCAACTTCAGCTTCCGAGGTGAGTAGCTTTAGCTTACGATGCAGTAAAACTACTTCCGTCAGTAATTAATTAATATTTGGTGTTTTTAACCACTCTATGTCAATCCTTGTAGATATTTATCTACTCATTTGGAACACCTTGCTCCAATAATTGGTCATTACATTAAGGTGTGGCAAGTCAAAATTTTCACGTAGCTAATTAGCGAAATTGTACCCAATTTCTCCTGAAGACAACAAAATTATAATTGATTTGTTTAAAAAAGGCTGATAAAGAAAAGACAGATAAAGGCTGCTTTAACAAGCAGATCAAATTGTTATGTTTCAATACTGGAATTATTTTTCATAGTAGGAGGAGTATAAGTCTTCGAGTTTAGGAACGTTGACAGTTGTAAAATTCTATAACGACACCTTTATATTCAATTGGCGAAAGGTCATACTAACAACCTTGCAGTAATATCATAGACAACAACTTTTGTTCTATGACTTTTCATAATACTTATGTACGTATAAATTTACCAAAAATAAACTTTTAACTTTTTCTTGTACTATCTGACACTTTTTAGATCTATATTTGGTAGAATAAGTTCAAACCGTTTTACCATTTAGAACGATCTATTTAAATCTATTTATTTTTGTATGAAAGTAAAAAAAATCTGATGAATTATTAAGTCATGGAACTAAAGTTCTTGTTTATGTTAGTAATATAGTCCTGCGAGGTTTTCAGTGTTTTAAAAATTACCCTGGAGCGGAACTTATATTGTGTGTGTTATTATTGTTATTGTTAATTTGCCGTTAGATGGCATTGACCGTTTTGTATGAAATTCTGAATCGCGATGTTAAGATTTTCCTTCTGAAGGTTTTACTTCGCCGAACGGACCCTCCTTCGCCACGCACGGTGAACCTCGTTACTATCTACATAATTTATGTATTATGAACAGCTATTCAGATCAAATGTAAATAGATTATAATATTAAAAAAATAAACAAAAAGTAAACAATGGCCCTTACGCCGACAAGCACAGACTTATAGGAATGGATAATATAGCTTTTTCTGAATATCGTATCGAAACTATATATCAATATTCGAAATCGGATTTCAAAACTATATATTTTCTGAAACTATATATTCATGGATATAACCCGCGTGCGCGCTTCGTTGATACATTGCCGTTACTGATATTCGGAATCAGATTTCGAAACTATATATTAATGGATATAGTTTTACAAGAGCAATGAGGGCCAATGTTAGTATACAGTTTCAAAGACGCACAAAAAATGGTTTCGCATTGATATCCACTCAGTAAATATCTGATACGAAGTAATATCGGTATATAGTTAGGAAAATATATGATTTCGTGTTGGTAATCGCTCGGCTTGATTCGGCATCGCTATAAAATACGCGATGCGGAGCAATATCGATATACAGTTTCTAAGATACACGATATCGGATATTCGAAATTGCCACAATATATAGTTTCAATAACTATATACGATTTGTAACGCCCATTCCTACAGACTTATGACTTCTTATCCGTCTCTAGCTTTTCTTGTTATCATCATCAACACATTTATACGTCTCAATGCTGGGCTCGGGTGTCCTAACAGGCGAGGGTTTCGGCCATAGCCCGCTGCGTTGGCCCAAACAGGGTTGGGGACGTGTGGCGTCTACGCTATATAGTACAGGGATATGAAACAATATGTGTTTACTTCATGTACACGTGCGATACGTCCGCTCAAACCTCCTTCTAATATCGTAAAGGCGGGAACGGCGGGCCGCAGTGTAACTTATATTGTCTATTCTCTGTGGTACATTATGTGCATACACTACTGGACTTCACACGTTTGCGGAGGATTGTGACCCTTCTTGGGCGTGGTAGTTTCAGCACGGCGTTTTCCTTCACCGAAACAAGCTCAAGCAAAGCTCGAAAATTTCAAATTAGATTTCGTACATAAATTCTAAAAAAACTCCCACCTCGCGACTTACAATTATAATATTAATAACAAAAAGTTTGGGTATACCAAAATTTTTAATACACTGTTCGATAGTGTTAAAAAACTGTATAAATGACCCATTTTCGACATTTTGACCTTTACGCCAATTGTGTTTAAAGGTAACGATGTGTTTATTTCTAACCTATTATATTACCGAAAACCATTATGTAGGTGTCTAAGCACGGCAGGACGCGACTTGCGCGAAAGTACAAGTCGCGACAAATCACGTGCTTTATGTCGCTCTCGCGCAAGTCGCGTCCTATCCTGCTAGCCCTACTGATCTCTCGCAATGGTGCAAGGGCTGCATAATATGAGATAAATTATACAGTACCTGTGTAACTCCTTCCTCTCTAACTTTAGTCCATATATTATAAAGGCTGGCAGTGAACTCATCAACTTGTAGTGCATTTTGCAAAGTGTGTTGAAGGAACTCGTCATCGTGGGACACCTACGTAACAAATATCATTAATAAATTACAGTTACAATTAATATTTAACTGAGATAATAACCCCATTCCAGTGCATTCTTACAAAATAAGTTTAATATTAACTTTATGGGTCAGTACTGTGAACCATGGTCTCAACTCCGTATGACCTGTTCTCAGCAATTTACATTAAGAATATGACAAATTTCATAAAAAAAAGATTTTCAATTGGTACAAATATTTTTGGGCCAGTATATTACTAGCCGGTCAGTCGACCCAGAAAGGTATATGTTAGTTTTTTAACCAACATCCCGGTGAATAAGGCATTTTGCAAATAGGACGCTATTCTAGGAGCCATGTAAATATCACAGTAAAAATTGTGTAAATAAAAATGGTTAAATTTAGGGATGCGCGACTGAGAATTATTTCGATATCGTTACCAATTACTAATAATGAAACTAAATAAAAATAAAACCTACATACCTTGTGCATCAGTTCATTTAATATAGGCTGTAATTCGACAGCTTTGTTGAATTCTGTGCGAGGGAATGGCGAAGGCAGCAAAACAAAGGGTGCAATCTGCAATTAAAATCAAAATTAAATTTCAGTAATTACAATATAGGGACTACACACAGTTATACTTTGCACTAAACAAAGCAATTAGTCTCAAACAGTGAATAAAATTGGGAAATTAAACAGTATTAACGTCTACTGGTTTTTGGCATTGACTCGACGCGAATAAAGAGCTGTTACACACGGCGATTTTTAGCAGCGATGCAAACGCGATTAAAACGCGATGCAGTCGCTAATCGTCTACCTTTACACACACGCGCGCGCGACTTTAAGCAGCCATACAAACGCGATGCAAGCGGGCGATTGCGTAAATACAAACGCGTGGTTGCATCGCTACGCTTGAGATTTATAGGGGATTGCATCGATGTAATCGCAGTAATCGTGTAACCACTATTAGAAGTATTATACTAAATATTATACGATTTTCTGGCCTCTGAGGTCCACGCTTCAATGACTTTAGAGTGCGCAATATCCTCATGAGAGCGATGTAGGTGAACCTCTTAAAGTTGCGTTCCTTTTTACATTTCTACACGTCTCACCACTGCTTTAATGACAAGCAACTATAAGAATTCGTTTCCTAGAGTTACGTCTCAAAATCTGACTAGTTGAGTAAAACAGCACCAACATGTTTCAGAGTTAGCGACGCATTTGCTTTAATGTCGCAAATGTCTACATGCAGCAATTACCAATTCCCATCATGTGGATGATATGATTGTTAGCCAGTTGAAATCCCTACCATAAAACATACATTAAAAAAATTATACGAACCTTAAAACCAACGTTTGTTTTAAACCCACCCCCTAACCTCACCCACTCTCTCAACTACACACTCACTCACTCACCTACACACTCACTCACTCACCTACTCACTCACTCACCTACTCACTCACTCACCTACACACTCACTCACTCACCCACCCACTCAACCTCTCACCCACCCGCTCACTCACCCACTTAACCACCCACACACCCACGCACTCACCCACTCCTCACCCACTCACTCACCCATCCACTCCCCCGCCCACTCACTCACCCACTCACTCACCCATATGCCCTATAAATTTATCATAATTGTCAGTTTTAATTGTTAATTGCTAATCAAAAACATTGAAAAGATTGAAAATTGATAAATTGTTAATTGCAGATATAAATTAACGATTGATTAATTGTTAGTTGCGAGATTAATCAATTGTTAATTGCAGTTCTCGCAATCAACAAATTAATCAATTGTTAATTGCTGTTTCAATTAATTCATTGTCAATCTTTAATTGCCTGAACAATTAAATTTTGCCCAACACTGTTACAACTAAATACTTATTGTAAACCGTGGTTTACTGAAATTTAATGATATTATTACAAAATGTTTATTGTTCTCCGATCTAGACGATTTGATTTGCATAACTATTCAATCGATTATTACAAAAAAAGACTGTTGAAAATCGCATCAATATAAATCAATACAAAAAATCATTACATCATTTGCACTTGACCTGATTTTTCGATTTTTTTGATAGACTAGTTATGTGCATACTTAGTAGTGATAGTGAAAATCCACAGGATTGCAAGGTGGGTATTGTGTGGAGCAGCCCCTTTTTCGATTTAGTGCTACAAAAAATTTGGTACTACATAGAAATTTGTTGATTAGTATGGAAATTTCCGATTGATTAGAATGGAAGTTTCCGTCCACAATTTTGGGTAGAAATAGGTTAAAAACGGCCGCGTTAAAATTTCGGGTAAAAACCCGGTTAAAACCGGTTTGATTGGGTTTTAGCCCACTGCCTATCTCTACTAACAAAAACCAATTTTATATAGAATTTTGACAGAATATTACTATAGAAAACATAGTTATGTAAAATATATTATATAAACATAGTTATGTAAAATAAATAAAACGTGGAATAATCTCATTGACCTACCAACAAATGGACATCGGGTCTAATACAAAAACCACGAAAAAAATGTCCTAACTTAACCTATATAAACGTAGTGGCATGTAACGAAATATAAAAAACCAAAACATTTAATTAAAATTGTAACGTCATTGCAGTACTGCCTAATTTTGCTTGCAACAATTTAACGGCCCAAAAACACCATATTCAGCTTCTACTGGAAACTTAACAAAACACACCATATTTAGCTTCGACTGAAAATTACTTGAACACAAGAGTAGTGGAGTGGCCTTTCTCCTAAATACTAATTAATTTTTATATATACGAATTTTGTACAAATTCAATTAAAGATATAACAAATGGTTGGGCAGATACATACATACAAATATTACTACAAATGTGTAAAATAAGCGTGTACTATAAGAAATGTACCGATATTCCAACTAAATGTAAACACAAATATCCGTAATTCCGAAAACCGATTTATAATAAAACCGTTACGCTTTCAAGTAATTTTGATGCTTCTCATAAAGCCAAAATTAGCTTTTGTTTTGTAATATTCCTAAAAAAATACATTTGACATTGTGAAAATTCGAGCTAACGTTATTTCGGGCAAATGTATTTTCTGACTTCTGATAGGTAATCCCTAGCCGTAAAACGAGTACAACAATGTTTTGTTAGTTATCGCTAACGTTAAATAAAAAGTCATTTTAAAAATAAGATTAAAATCAACACGCCTCTATAGTTTCTTTGTTCCAAATATTTCAATCGCTTATGGTTCGAACAATTGAAAATTCCATCTTTTGCGCATGCAATGTGTAGAAAAAGGACAGTTAGCTATTACGATTATTTTGTGTGCTTTTGTAATTTGTATTTACGATTCATTTATATGTAAATTGAATACTATAAAACTGAACAAAATAACACTTTTAAATGAGAACTATGATAACACAATATATTTATTTAGTGAAAATATAATACAAAATCCTATTTTTGCACTTTACTGCAGTAATTTATACTAGTTATTATTAAATAGTACTGCATGATTGACAACCGCGCTGTCAGTCGAACAAACGAAGGCTGTTGCGCGATTGACGCTCTGTATGCGATTTTAACAGGTACAGGTGCGGACACTTTTTAACGCGAACCCGACGTCCATTTATTGGTAGGTCAATGAATAATCTGTTACAAATTAACGTGGATGCAATTATTGTGCTGGTATTTGTAAGGAACATTTGTTAGTTAAAATTTTAATTACATTTATTTCAAAGTATTTTTTTGTAAAAAAAATGTTTTTCCCAGTATAACTGTGATACCATCTCAGTCAGGCGTTTATTTGAGAAAAAAAAAGCGATTTAGCGAAAAAAATTGTTTAATTTCCAAAATCAAATATGTAACGCAATGAATCATTCTTATTCTCAATCTGTAACTCATAAAATGCAACAAAACAAATTCACTGTGCCTCAAGAAAATACCACATAAAAGTGACACATGATAGATAAATTGTAAAACTACAAATATCTCTACCAATATAATTAAGATAAGTTATCAGCATCAAGGAACAATAGTAGTATGATAATATCTAATATAATATAATGAACTTCTTATCCTCCTGTTATTTTTATTATTATCTATTTTAGACTCTCGCCTCTCCCAAGGCCATCAAGATTAATTATTATTATTTTGGTGGCTTCAGTGTGACCTTTGACTGATCTATTGTGATCACCACTAATTACATTGCTGAGCCCTGGCCGACCTCAGTGAAGAACTGAAGGAGTTTCCTGCCTCCGATATATTTAATGTCCTCTGGTTGTGGCATGTGCCTTCCCAGTATGGAACTTCGTATGCCTATCAGGGGGTAGCATTGGGTGAGTAGATGAACAGGAGTTTCATCCCCCTTGTGGCAGAATCTACATTCTCTATTCTCTCTCTGTCCTATAGTTGACAAGTGCTTGTTCAAGCAACAATGTATTGTTAAGGCTAGTGAGCATTCTTATGCCATTCAACGATAGAGTTTCTCTTCAGTGTTTGGCACTGTAGGCAGCTTTCAGGGCTTTCGAATGCTCAAGACCCTTGCTCTGTAGCCACACTTCTCGGAAGAGATGTGTGCTCTCATTGAACAGAGTGAGCTTTGTCAGGCTGTACGCTATCCCAATGATGGATTCAGGTCCAATAAAGGATTCCCTAGCAACAGCCTTTGCCAATTCATCCGCTGACGTGTTATCTTCAATGTCAGAATGGCCTGGAACCCAATGCAGGAACACTGAATTATTTTCCCTGAGAGTATTCAGTATATTTACATTCTCTACTACCCTCGATATTTGGGTGACTGAGGCTAGTTTATGACTAGAATTTATATAAATATACTTGTCAATGTAGCCTCTCTTAAGGTTCAAATCTGCACAAGTAATTATGGTGTACACTTCGGCCTGAAATATAAGAGACATATGTCTTCCCATATTCAGCTTGTAACTGAGGCTGAGTCTCACGCAGTGTATACCATAGCCAACATTGGGGGACCCAATTTAGTCATCAAGTCTTAAGCCCATTGGTATACCCTACCAGTCTACCCTAGTTGGACATTCTACCTGGTAGAGTTTGTTAAAGTTCTTACATATCTACACATCTTTTTGTTTGAGTAGCTTAACATCAGAAGTTATTCCCAAAACAGAATGTTCCAATTGATTGAAGAGAAGATTGAATCTTGAGCTGATCACAATGTCTGGGAGATCCATCTACTTCTTAACCTAGTGGTAAGCCTGTACATGCTGGTACTGGCCTCCCTCACTCAGTATGAAAAAATGCAGAGGGTCAAGTTCAGCAATGCTTTTAGGGCTGCCCCAGGTATGGTGGACATGACTCCAATTGCTAGCAGACATGCGAAGCGCTGTAGACTGCCCAACATAAAACTTATGGTCATATGGCTGATTTTATCACTCCAAGAAAGAGAGGCCTAAGTTACTATGGGCCTCACAATTGCCTTATATAAACCGAGTGGTCTTTGGGTTTAGACCCCAACTTATTCTCCTGGCTCTGTGTGTACACGGGGTGTTTAGTCCCTTTCCCAGGTTAATTGTAGTCTGCTGGGTCTTAGGAGGATAAATAAGTTGATTTCATTCAAAATAATTTTTTTTTTTTTTTTGATAGTATATTTTATTTAATTCAACTGATAATTGAGGAGCAATGGAACAAAAACCACACACGTAAACAAACCAAACACACGCCAAACAATACTTTTCATTAATTTGTACAAATAATTTACCCAACCCAAATATAAATCACGAAATCCGCTATAAAAATATGTTTCCAATGCATGGCTCAGAAGAATAGTGGCACTATCCCCAACTACATATGTCACATTTTCTTACATAATTGAATTATGCGTAACCAGCATTTGATTATGAATCTCCATTCTGGTAATTTAGTTGGCAAATCAAATCTGCGTAAATGTTGTGGCATCCAAATTAGCGCGATTTACGGGAATCTATTTGTTGTCAGTCCATAGACAACATAAATTAATGCTTACTGTGCAAGAACTAAGGCCATAGTTATTGAAATAACAAAGTAATAACATTTGAATCCCACTCCTGTGAAATCTGGTTTCGTGCAGATACGCACTTTTTACCAATGCTACATGCGCAGATTTGCACTATCCCTGACAATATCCATTCAATGAGACTAGATGAAGGAGGAATTTAAATTTATTGATTTTTGCTCTGAAGCTCCTTAATTACAAAAGTATATTGTTTCTAGTCTTTGAGTCTTTAACGTTTTTAGTCCTATATCAAGAAACCTTCAATTTCCTATTAATTAACGTTTAATACATTACATGTTACATGTCTATACGCAGGTAAAAGTACCTTCGGATTAGGCGTGATTCAGTTGTTCTTTTGGTGTGTATTTTTGATAGATATTTATTTGATGCATGCTTTAATCACCCTTATGTACCATGTCCCATAGATTGACATATAGGCATTGGTAATTATTATGTCTATTCAAGAAGTAAACAAACTTATACATTAAGATAATATAATTGGATAAAATAGTTTTTTCTCTGCTAAATTGACTCACCTGCATTGCATCTTTACTAAATTGTTTTTTGTCCCTCATGCCAACTCCATGCATTAGAGCCCAATCTTTCGCTTTCTCTACAACATTGATCAGAGCCCTGTGCTCTATCGGCATCGGAATACACGAAGCAAGCCTAGATTGCGACATTTTTACACACAATGCTAAAAAAATATTATGATTTTAAACTTTTAAATCACTATCTCTTGTGGAGAATAATGTACGCCTATTATGACTGTGGGTCAATTTCAAAGACACGATTATAATTTTTACACACTTTAACCCAAAGAAAGGATGGAAAGCAAATGCAAAAAACTTTGTGGAAAACTGATTCACTTCACTTCACTTTTTATTTTTATGGCTCCATCAATATGAGAACTGATGATTTTGCCAATGTCACAGTTGAAAGAAAAAAAAACGAAACAAAAAAAAAAAATTTTCGCTAAGCTCTAATAGGACATTAACCGGTGTTGGTAAGTTGGACTACGGGAGTACTCAGTTGAGAATGTAAAACAAAACAGCAAAACAATATTTATAAATATATGTTATTTAAGTGGATAAATTTACATAGAGTAACAATATGGGGGGAGAACACTAAAGTTAAGAGGTTGTTTATGTTAACGGGGCGGGGGAATTTTGGAGAAAGTAAGTTATAAAGTGGAACAGCAATATTAGGACAATTGAAAAAAATGTGTTCCAAGGTACCGTCTTCTAGGCCGCACTCGCACAGAGAGTGATCTCGAACTCTGATTTTACGCAAAAATACAGGTGTGCAAACATGGCCTAAGCGCAAACGAATAATAGTGGAAGTGATGTTTTTAGGCAAATCGCGACGTTTAAAAAACCAGGGTTTAGTGGGTAGATTTGGTTGGAGATTACCATAGTGTCTACCAACAGTTTGTCGTGATTCCTGCCAAAGGACCGACCAGGAGGCTAGCATTTGGGGTTTAGTCATGGCGAGCAGATCTCTGGGAAAGCACTTACAGTATTTGCACACGCCAATTCTTGTCGCATCCTTTGCAAAGGCGTCTACTGCTTCGTTGCCACTGATCCCAGTGTGACCGGGAATCCAGGCCAGAGTTACCTCAATTCCCGCACAATGACATCGGTACAGAGCTTCCTTAATTTGGAGGGTGATGGAGAAATTGTCTTTGGAATGAAACGGTAGCTTAATAATGTCTTGGAGGCAACTTAGTGAGTCTGAGAAAACCAAACATTTATTAATTTTATGGGACTCAATATATAAAATGGCTTCGAGTATTGCAATTGCCTCTCCCGAAAAGACCGAATTCAGATAGGGGGATTTAAAACTGAGTACGACATTGAACTTGGGGAACCAAACCGCGGCTCCCAAGTCGCCATGTTCGTGTAATTTTGAAGCGTCGGTAAAAACAGTAGTCCAGTCATGCCATTCTCTCTCAACTATATCGTTGAAGACTTGGTTTGCTCCAGGGGTATCTTTCATGATGCCAAAACTAAGATAGACTGTTGGGCGAAACGTTAAACATTTAAAATCAGTTTCAAACAACGGGTTCATATAATTTTGGTAAATAGGGAATGGGAGATTGGAAATTTTGTTAAAACTGTTGATAAGAAGGGGGGGTTTCTTGTGTGACCAATAATTGGAGGAAGGGATAATCTCCGACAAGGATTGCAATACGGGAAGCAAAGGGTGAGAAGAATATTGAAAGATCTTGAAGAGGAATCTATTAGCAAGGAATTGTCTACGTAGATGTAGAGGGGGCTCCAGACATTCGACTTGAAGAGCGTTTGTTGGTGAGGATTTCATGGTACCTGTGATTATTCTCAGGCATCTTGCCTGGATTCTGTCCATCTTAGCCAAGGCTATTTTGTTGCATGGTTCCAGAAGGAAGCCGCCATAATCAAAATGACTTCTAATGATTGCGTTGTACAGGAGCTTTTGGTTATACGGATGTGATCCCCAACGAACACCAGAAAGTGCACGTAGGACATTTATGCTTTTTTCAGCTTTTTGACAAATATAGTTGAGGTGATGGATGCCAGATAATTTTGAGTCCAGAATAATGCCTAAAAATTTTACTTTTTCCCTCAGTTCTATGATTTCCCCATTAACATGTATTTCAGTTTCAGGGAGGCGTCTCTTGCGGGAAAAAACGACAGCTGTGCTTTTGTTAGCTGAAAGAGAGAGGCCGTGATCGGTAAGCCAAGAGTCTAGGTAAAAAAGGGCAGAGTTGAGGCGTCTTTCAGTATCTGAAAAAGATTTGGAACAAGCGTACAGGGCGATATCGTCTGCATATTGCAAGATTTTGCAGAAGCAATTGACTGAAGTGCCGAGGTCAGACGTGTACAAGCTGAAAAGGAGAGGGCTAAGAACGGAACCTTGAGGCAAGCCGTTCCAGACCATACGGGAGGGGGTTGTGGAACCGTTAACACGCACTGCGATAGAGCGACCCATAAACATGTTGTAAATGACATTGATCATCTTCACAGGAATACACAGATTGAGCATCTTCTGCCAGAGTAGTGGAAGGTTCACGTTATCATAAGCTGATGTTATGTCTAAGAACACACCTATGACGTGTTTTCCCTCGGAGAGGGCTAGTCGAACATCTGATGAAAAAATGCTTAGGCTGTCCATAGTGCCCATGCCTTTTCGGAAGCCAAACTGGCTTCTGGGTAACAATCCCTTGCTCTCTACTATCCATTCCAGACGGTTTTTTATTAGGTGTTCCATGATTTTAGCTAAAACAGATGATAGGGCGATAGGTCGATACGAGTTTGCATTAGATGGGTCTTTCCCAGGTTTTATGATTGGAATGATAATTTGGGTTTTCCATGAAATAGGGACTATGCCAGTTTCAAAAATTGTGTTTATAATATTCAAAAAAAAAATTTTGGTAGGATTAGAGGACCTGGTAATAAACGAATAGGGAATGCCGTCCGCACCCGGCGCCGAATCCCTTAAATGGTCCAAAGCACAGCTTAGTTCTTCAAAAGAGAAGGGGGCATTCATACTGTCAGGAGATGACAAGGAGGTGTTTATAACGGTAGGAGCTTCTGAAGGAACAAAAGGGGGGGATAATTTTGTAATAAAATCCACAAGCCAGGGTGTCGGGTCGTTAGACGAGGTGTTGTTTCGAACTGATTCGAATCGAGTGACTGCAAGTGACAGAGAGTGACATTGACAGTCAAATGACAACTTTGGTTAAATAGACAATAGAGACCAACTTTTTTTAGGGGGGTTTACAGTTGGGTAATTTTCCGAAAATTTCATATAGTAGCAATTTTTTTCGGAAAAATTCACAAGAAATGGGAAAAATTGGAAAAATATAATTTCGAAGGCTCATATTATGTTCTACGTTAAGAAATATCTTTTGAAGGTTTATTTATCGTGAATTATAAAATAAACTTGTACAGCTAAAAATCTCTTACAGAAAAATAAAATTTAAAGGATATTATTTTTTCAAATTTAAGGGATAATTTATTATACTGTATTGAAGTCCGCCTTGCCGTTCGCCGCGTAATACAGGATTATGAATGTAGTCGCAGCGTGTAAGCCATCCTGCAACCCTGCATTGCGTCCTACGAGACTTCGTACGTGGGCAATACGCAGGATGTGAGAGCAGTTTCTCGCCTGGCGGCGGACTGTTATGCAGATAGTAAATGGATTGCTTATATTATTTCATAACAGCGAAAAAAAAACATATTACAAGGCTCCATAGTTGTCGTTTAGTAACTTCAATTTTTGACAGATGTAATCATCAAATGTGGAAAATTAGAGTGAATATTGGAAAAATACCCGGAAAATGTTTAAATTTCTGAGATATGACTTTTTTCAAAATGAGAATTTTTCCATGACCCAATGCTAAGGAGGTCCTTAAAATGGCACCATAATTTATATTTTGCTCAACAAATAATTGAAAACGCTTAGCAAAAATTGGTCAATATGGTTTAATTCATGCTGGTCAACAGGTTTTAAGATGGTAGTACGTCAATTTGCTTAATAACCGCTAAAGTGTTATAATAACCGGTAATTATCTCATCATCGCATTGAGTCTTTATTAATGGCCCATTCACTGCTATCAGTCCGTCGCGCAGGCAAGACACTGCTCACACACTATCCTGCGTATGACCGACGTATGAAGTCTCGCAAGACGCATTGCAGGATAATAATAATAATAATAATAACGCACACACTCAACATAGCCCCGCACTAGGGAAACCCTGTGTCGCGGGTGCCATGGACACACATAGACAACCACAAATTACACCCAAACTCACGAGAGAAATAAATGTAGGCCATACAAATATTTCTCCCGGCCCGGGAATCGAACCTGGGACCTCTGCGTGGCAGTAACATGGTAACCGTTCGGCCACAGAGGCAGGATGGCTTGCATGCTGCGATTACATTAATAATCCTGCATTACGCGACCGGCTGCAAAGCGGACTGCAATGCAGAATTTTTAATGCCCCTTTTTAACTTGGTGCAGTCTTTCAACCCTGACATTGGCGAAATGGACGCGAAAAACGACGGAGCCACACCTACTTTTAAAATTGGTACTTAAACTTGTATTGAGTATCCACAATTTGCATTTGTGCAAATTGTGAATAATCATTTGTTCATTTTTATAATCTAGGCGGACTGCAAGACGAGATAATGAATGGGCCCTTTAAAGGGGCCAAACTGCGATGCAGGCGGTCAATGGGCCGTTTGGAAGATGTGACGATTTCAAGTGTAATAATTCTTACCTATGAAATAAAGATTATTTTGAATTTGAAATTTGATTTTGAAGATGCGCTTGAATAGATCGATAGTGTTACAGAAAAATTGTGGTAAGAGCATATTACCGGTTTTTCGAAACACTAATTTGTCTACGGCAACACCATTATTTTTTTAATTGTGACATTTCATTCATTTGCTCTGGCGCTCTCGGTGTATTCTCAGATTTTACGTGCCAGTGCTTTTCGTCAAGGAAGGAAATAATATTTAACAACAAAAATAATAAAGAAGAATCAGAAATTTACTCAACTTATTATTGAAGTGGGATTTTATTAGATGTAATCATTGTGTCGTACTGAATTGAATTGCGCATGCATCTCTTCCATGTCTTCCATCTTTTTTCCATGTTGCTAATTTGTACAGCATGTTCTCTATCGGAATTTTGAGAATGTTTGGTTTGTTGGTTAAATCCTGGATGAAAATCTGCTGAAAAGTCTAAATCGGTTCTATTCAGGTAACGTGGTCATTGCAATAAAG